GCCTTCCTCGGCGGCGAACGCTGTCGAGCCGCGCAAAAATCGCCGGCTGATGCCAATGGCGATCTCACGGTACGCTGCAATCGTCAACTCTTGTTTGAGCCCGATTCGACTCTCGCGCTTCAACGTCTCCCGCACACGCTCTGAAGTCCATTTGCGTCCGTTCGGGTCAGCGGGCCACAAGTGGGATGAAATCGCCTCCTTCTCCCACACCATCGCCTCCAATCGCTGCTGGAACGGCAGCACCAACCATACGTACCACACCAGCAGCTCACCTACCTCGCGCGGCAAGTACTGATGGATGATCTTGACGTCGCTGCTGACGGCGTACCCCTTGTGGTATCGTGTGACGAACACGACCATGCTGTCCTTAATGAATATGTTGCGGTGCCCGCCCTTGATCGTGTTGCTGTGTTGGACGCTCAATATCTCAGTTGCCCGTGCGGGTTGTCCTGCTGTCATGTGCATGAGCGCGAGCAGCTTCTCCCTGAACGCAACCACACGGTCTATGTACCACTCTACTTCATTCCTGTTGATCCCGGAACGGGTAGCTGGCTTAATGAACCGCTCCTGCATTGTAGCGTCTTGCCCTACTTGTTCGAACAACCACCTCTCTCTATCCACAGGCATGCAGGTGCGCTGGTCTTTTAAAAAGTTCTACCTAGGTTGATTGTCGGTTGGGTTGTCGCGCAGCTGCTCCCACGGAATCTGGGGGACTTGATCTGCCGTCTGCCTATTGCAAAACAGCAGCTCCTCAACCAGCATCCGCTTGCTCTCTGCTTGCATCCCGTGCACCATGCTGCGGAACTGGGCCATGGTGAAGTGCACGTTCTTGTACAGCAGCTTGTCCCTACCCATCCACTCGACGTTCCCTCGCGCGGTGGTGTTGAAATGCACCTTCAGCCCGTACGTACGCAAGTCGAGCATCCACTGCATTGGGCTGTGGCTGCCTCGTACCATGAACCTGTCCATCATCTGCTGCACAAACTCCAAGCAGCCTTTTGGTCGACGCAGCCTGGGGTTACTGCTGCTGCTGTCGCTCCCCCCGTACGCGCTGTTGTTGTCGAACACCTCCTCTTCAAACGGCTCGGACAGCTCGAGTGCGTGTTGTACAACCATGAAACGGGTGATTTTGATCACCGACGACAATATCGGCGGGTACAGCTCGGCGTCCTTCCAGCCGTCCTCTTTGACGCCGAGCACAGCCAACGCACACACCAACGCGCAGTCGTACTCCTTGCGGCGGATGCGCTGGTCAAGCAGCGCAATGCAAAACATCAAGCACGCTTTCTCGATCAGCGTCAGCTTTGCGTGCTTGGGCTCGTTCTCGAGCTCGTTCTCGGGCTTGTTGTCGCACTCGGACGGGTCCTGCTTGTCGTCGAGTTCATCGATCATCATCTCGTCCTCCTCCTCCTCTTCCTCCTCGTCCCCGTCCTGGTCCTCGTCCGCTACCTCCATCTCTGCCCCGCCAACATCTCTCTCTGCCTGCTCGACCAACGCCTCCCACGCCTCGCGCTGCTGCTGTGTGAAGCGGTACTTGGGGCTCTTCCAACGGTGCTCCCTCTGCGTCCGTGCAAAAAACATCAGTATCTGCTTCCACGGGCGTGATCGCTCTTTGATCGACTTGTCGTCCATGTACGCCTGCAGCGGCGTGTACCTGGTCTGATGCTTCTCCGTACGAATGGCCTCCATGCGCACAAATATGCCTGTCCGCTTGATGACGGACATCTGGCTCACGCGGGCCAGTCCATCCATCGCGCTCCAAATCGCAGCCTCGACGGGCTCCTCATCTTTCTCTGGGTCTATGTTGGGCTCCTCAATGCTTGCCAGCAACTCAGGACGATCCAGTTTGTTCAAGTACGGCAGCCACCCAGTCCGCTCCAGCCATGGGGCCGCTTCGTCCTTCTCCCCGTCTTCGATTGTTGTCTTCGCTCGGTCCTCAACGTTGGCCCACGTCTTGGCCATCTCCTCGCCTACGCGCGCCCACGCCGCCTCGCCCTCTGTGGGGACGGGTTGCGGACTGCTGTCTGGGTTGTGACGCACCTCGAAGTACTGTGATCCGTGCCGGCTGCCGAAAAGTCGCTGGCAGTGTACGCGCTTGCAGCCGTCTTCCATCTGGGCTTGCAACGCCCCTGCCCGAGTTCGGCTAGGGCGTCCTTGCCTTTTTCCCAACGACCAGCCGTTGTGGTCTTTGCGCCAGTGCTTTTTGATTGAGTCGATGGTTCTTGCAATGTGCCGGCATTTTTCGGGCTCAAGTTGGCACAGCAAGCCGTCGTCGTATACTGGCAGCTGGGGGATGGGCTGCACGTTGTTGTCTGGTACCGTCCACTCGCTGGGGTACTGTAGCAAGCCCGCCCACTGACGGACGGCACCCCCTACAGCTCTAACGTTTTTTGGCGGTCTCTT